ATAAATATCATCAATCCTAGGTGAAAATCGAACTAACTAGTAAGTAATAAATGCGGTTTATTGCATTAACGTAGAGATTCAGTTATGACCATTCAGAGAAATAATGAAAATGATGTGACGTAAATCATTACCAAGTAAAAGCCGAAACGCTGGGTTCAAGTACCAATGATTGCGTTTTGCCTCAGAACAGTTGCTTCCAATTTTATATCCTCTCATTTCAAGGGGTACAATAATGTAGACTACAGAGTTGAATCACTTCATAATTTCTTCGTCTCGGACATCAGCACGCTTGGAAATGCAACATGCGCAGTGAAACACACCAGGAGATCACTAATTTCAATCTTTACATTGCACCGCGCATTGAATACTAATGAAGTACCTAATAAAATCTCATGGAATTTATTATATACAGGTGAATTGATTTTGTGTCAAGCCAAGGAGGTATAGTCTATGTGTTTGTCACCTTTTTTCCGGACTCATCTACACTGCTACTCAAACTTTATTAGTAGTAAAGGAAATTCACCAAATTTGCGATTATAAAAGTGAAAGTAATACGTCTCTACTAGAGGCACGAGAAGATTTGAATACAATATTTGATGCATGCCGAGTTTCCAAAAGTGTCTGAGCTGTTCTTGACTAGTACGCGAATCATTGTAAAGAGAAATCCTCGCGTTCAGTTAGCTAATTCAATTTATCCATTGCGCGGCAAATTGGTCGAATGTGGTTTAATCATGGAAGTACTACTTGGATTGGAATTCATGGAGGTAAACTGTTTTGTTGCCTATGGCAATCTCAGGAATGGATCTCATTAAACAATTATGGGGACCACAGCCTTAACATGACGAAACTAGGAGCCTCTCGACCAATCAAAGGCCGAAGCCATTTCATGGTTATCATCCCAGAAAGTGCATATTATGACTAATTTTCACGTCACAAGTCTTTGTGATAGCTTAACCAATCCTGGTAGTCTTACCAAACAGATGAGAATCTGCCATAGAGGTGGCTGAGTATAGTCAATGTAAGATGTAGTAAACCACCACACAATGAATGGAAAATTTGTTCCTGATTATATTTTCATAGAAGACATTTGAAGACATCTATTTAATAGCAGGCGGCGTATATTGTTGAATGGAACATTTTACCAGGCTGTTCAAGTAGGCTTTATTATTTATAATATTGAAATAATATTGACCGAAACTCGACCGAATGTTTTATACTAAAATCCATTTTAGTATAAATTTCATTCAATTAAATAATTAATATTAATTTTATAATAATCATGTTATTACGACCAGTGTAACGGATTGCAATATGAACAAACCCTAACTTATTTTCAGTAATTTCTATAATTTACCTTATATTTATTTATTTATATCAAAAGTCAGGCTGTTCCCAATTATTTATTTATTTATATCAAATGGCAGGAGTTTTGAAGATAGTTATCATTAGCCCTGAGCTGACTTCGGGGCTTCACAGAGAGGAGAAGGAACATCAGAGTGGCAAAAAGTCGGAACAGAAAGGAAGAGGAACACCAAAGTGGCAAAAAGTCGAGAGAGGGGGACAGAATAATGATTCACAGACGTAAAAGAGACAGGCCTTCACAGAAGGAAGGTTCATCAAAGTAGCAGAAAGTCCAAGGGTTGAGGGAAGGTGCATCAAAGTAGCAGAAAGTCGAGGGGTAGAAGAGGGAAGGTCCATCAAAGTAGAAGAAAGTCAAGGGGTGGGAAAGGAGAAGGAACATCAGAGTGGCAAAAAGTCGGAAGGGGGAACAGAAGAGTGATTCACAGATGTAAAAGAGACAGACAGACGGACACAAAGGCATAAAAAAGGTAAAATGAGTACTGTAAAAGGGGTCGGATATGACAAATAGTCGGGCCATGGAAGTTTGATGTCAACTGCCGATCAATAGACTTTTTTGACGCATAAGTATACGTTGCCCAGGGTGCACCACGTGGAAGTAAGTCTATTGCGCACCCCAATTTACCTTATATTGAATGCTTTATATTGATTCAAAACCTTTCCAATTGGTATTAACCAACTCACTGCCTCCTTCCCTCAATAATATTCAATTATATCAAATGGCAGGCTTTATGATAGTTATCATTAGCCCTTTAGTTGACTTCGGTCTTCACAGGGGAGAAGGAACATCAAAGTGAAAAAGTCGAGGGGGGGGGGGGGGGGGAACAGAAGAGTGTTTCAAAAATGTAAAAGAGACAGACACAAAGGTAAAAAAAGGTAAAGTGAGTACTGTGGAAGCGGTGGAATATGACATGCAGTGGGGTCATGGTAGTTTGAAGTGAAAAATCAACTTCCGGTTTGCATACCTTTGTGCCCAGAATACACTAAGTGGAGGTTAGTCTATTGTGCACCCCAGATCTCCTCAATAACATAGAAGGAGCATATGTGTGGCTTAGAACACACTTATTTGATCTGAACGTGGCTAACTTCGAGGTTAGTATTAAAATGCTATTAAAGCTTTGTCAAACAAAGCATCGTCAATTGATTAATGGCTAACTAAGTGGTCTCGGTGCTCATGACCGCACTTTCTACCTACTCGATAAGTGGCACTGCCGTACCTTTGAGCATCCTTGAACGTGTTAAAGATTTCTCCATGACGATAATGGGGGTGGGGGGGGGGGGGCGAGGGGGGCATTTCATGCCTAAATAGTGAGGTTTGTACTGAAAGTAAATTGGTCTTTGTATCATACTCTGTTAGCTAGGATATAGGTATGACTCTTTGCGCTAAACCACGCTAATTTGAGATAAAAGTTTCCTAAAGACGTGGCTAATTAACAAATGGCCCACCTTGAGAAAACTCCAGTGAGCTCTGTTGTTTTAGTAACCTTTGCTCGAAGTGTCTTTCTGCTCAAAACCGTAGGATTTTAATGGTACACTCATCGATGCTCCCTGTACATGGCGGCCTTCAGCTTATCGTAACATATTTTTGGATTGAATTGCATTAAAGAGCTTTACAACATTGTATTTTGGCAAGGTAATTTATTATCTCTTCTGAAAAAATCCCAAACTCAATCCCATCATTGTTTCAATATAACTTCATTATGCAATATTCTACATTTCCATGTGATCAGGTATCATTCATAGTTAGGAGTTATAGCAAATTGCGTACAGTATAAATAGGCGTGATTTGAATCACACCTGGGGAAACTTCCCTTTAAATGCTCTCTCTCTCTTGAAGTCAGAGATTGTAAATTTGACGCGCATGAGTGCGCATACGAGAAGTGGAATGAAGTGAATGTAACTCCAAGTATTTACGGGTTGTGCAGAATAAACTTGTCACTCCCAATGGGTAAAACTAGACGTGAATTTTGACTTCAAAATGGACAGATATAGAAGAGCTTTAGTAGACAAGGCAGTTCACCCTTGCCAAAGAGTTCCACTCAAAGCAATCGCCATTTGTATCTGCTGCAACCGCCCCATGGAACCTGGAGACAAGCCGTTTTTACACTTCCCCTGGAAGGATCTCACATACAACTTTAATTCTCTTCATTCATTATTATTTCAAATACCAGGCGTTTTGATGGTTATCATCAGCCCTTTAGTTGACTTCAGACTTCACAGAGTGAAGGAACATCAAAGTGAAAAAGTCGAGAGGGGGGGGGGGAACAGAAGAGTTTCAAAGACGAAGGCTGAAAAGGTGGAAAAAGGTGAGGTGAGTACATTGTGAGAGTAGTCGAATATGACATACAGTGGTGTCATGACAGTTTGAAGTCAGAAGTCAACTGCGGTTTATAGACATTTTGCCACATGAACATACGCTGCCCAGGGTGCACCACGTAGAGGTAAGTCTATCGCACACCCCATTCTGTTCATTCATTGATTCAGATAAGTGCCTCTCTATATGGAGCTCAATGAATGCATAATAGTGTATTAATCTAAGATCTGAATGAAAAGAGTACAGTTACAAGCCAAACATCTTGTTCCATTGAAATTCCCCTTTGCTATCTAGGGCTTACTACCACTAAAGCATTTGAACTTCACTAAAAATTCGGAAAGTATCATTCAACTCTCAAAAGTGGAGATCACACGACCGCTAACCATGATATTTAGGAAAAATTTAGTCTGTCTGACTCTTGGGAAGCCCTTTACAATGTAGAAAACCTAGAACGTGTTGTGGATTTGATCCAGGCAATTTTTTTCGTAAAAGAAATAGGTTTTGCTTCTGCTTATATATATATATATTTCAAAATGATTAAAGTTAAATCTACGAATTCAAAATAATTAAATTACGTACATCTGAATAAATGTCATTTAAATTCTACAATAATAATATTTGGCTTAATGGGACTGTAAAATATATAAAGTGGGATTTTAAAATTTTTGAACAAATCTAAAGATATTTATCGGATTTGGGATGTAAATTAATTTATTTTTATATCTGCATATTTTAAATTTTTAAAGTGTATATGACCTTATGCATGTGCGCCTTCCAATCGTCTTGTTGTTGATTTGTTGTAAGTTTGCTTATCAGTCAAAGTTTGTTCACATTTTAAACATTTTTTTATAAATTCTTCCTTCAAAAGATTCGCTGTGCGTAAAAAACTCTTCAGGTTTTCATTGCAAGTGTTTGTTTTAAGAATTGTGTTTTATTCTTTTGTAGTGTACTTACAAATATTTGGCTGATACTTCACGGTTAAGCACTTTGCTAAACTTTGATAATCCTTCTTGAATTCTAAATAGTAACAGTCGAGTACAAAAGCTTCTAGCACAAACGTTTGCTCTAGATATTAGGTAGATTAGTTTCAAATTACCTAGAACACTGGTCGTTTGTTGCGTATTATGGACAATTTTAGACAATATCAGTAATTGAATCCGATGGGACCTTCGCACACACGACGCTCTAACCCTCTTCTCCATCGGTCTCACCATCATAATTTCCGGAGTATTTTAGCCCTCTCAAATCTTCTTCTGTTGAGCTTGATAGCTTTGCTCTGACCATTAATTAATTTTCCTAATATGTCTGTTCTATTTCAAGAATTTCGATGGCCTTCAGAATCCAGCGTCTTAGAGAAGGGTGGACTCGGTAAGTCACATTTTGGTCTCCTATTAACATTCTATTAATTTTTTTATTAGAGAACAACTCGAATTACGAGAACATTCTATAATAGAAGATAAGGATATTATTTTGGAGAAATTAAGTAATGGTACTTTACTTGTCGGAGGCTTGGATATATCATACAGTGGTATCGATTCAACTGCCTTCGTTGGTGTTTCCGTTGTGACAATTGGAAATCCATCTTTAAATAAACAGGTAATTTTTTTCGCTTCTCCATCGTATTTTTTTATCAATTTAGCAACTCTCTGCCGTAATTCCAGTATGATTGATAACCTTATGTCGATATCATATACGAGAGTATGTAATACAACTTGTCATGTACTCGTTACATAAATTCCATCTAGCAATCGTTATTGTTGCTTGAGGTTCCATTATACAAAGTTTGTGACATTTTTTAGCTACCGACGGTCTCTGTATCAATATGTGTGTTCTTACTTCTGGAATGTTCCATTGCAATTTAAGAAAAACAGAGAGAGAGGGCGTAAATGTAGTGTGTAGGGAATCAGCGTCATAAAAGAATGCTGAGTAATTAATTGTTGTGCGTGGTGTCATAAACTCTCAATATTAACAATTAGGACTGTGCAGACTTGTGTAAGACATTTCATTGTAGAAACCATCGTTTAATATGCTTGGCGCGGGGTGTGCGATAGACTTACCTCCACATGGTGCACCCTGGGCAACGTATATTCATACGGCAAAAAGTCTATTAACTGGCAGTTGACTTCTCACTTCAAACCAAAATCAACCCACTGTATGTCATATATCACCACCTACACAGTACTCACCTCATCTTTTTCCACTTTTACATCTTTGAAACTCTTCTGTTCCCCCTCTCCCTCTCGATTTGTTTCACTTTGATGTTCCTTCCCCTCTGTGAAGCCTGAAGTCAACTAAAGGGCTAATGATAACCATCAAGACGCCTGCCATTTGATATAAATAAATATGCTTGAGGCCTTCTAGAAGCCCTGGTACTATAACTAATGTAATTTCCATCAAAATATTTAGTGTGAAACCCTAATCGTCGACACCTTCAAGGTTGAAATCAAGGGGTTTTACGTCCCTGGTTTCCTTGCCTTTCGAGAAGTTCCCGCCTATATTGAAGCAATTGAGGCCTTCAAGACCAAATACCCGGATGGCCCAACTCCTGACATTTGGATGGTGGATTGCAATGGAACGCTCCACCCACGTCG